TTTTTTTCCTTTCCATGAGAAAGAAAACTAAAATGTTTCAAAAATACCCTTGCTGGTTGAAAGTTTAGATGGGGTGGGTGACTTTGGCCCACAAGTTTCAACCTCTGCTCAAAGTCCAAGCTTCCTTTGTTTTTCTGTGTTGTTACCATTGACGTGAGGAATCCACAAGATACTTGTTCAGGCAAAGGGCTGGTACAGCCCCTTTAAGGAGCTGTAACAAGAGCTGCAAATCAAACAGTTCTCTAACAACTGGGTCAGTGTATATAGAAAGACTTTCAAATACAGTTATTTATTCAGTCTCCTGCTCTAAGATTAGTCCCATTATGTGCCTCCTATGCACTCCCTTCCAATTCATTCAATTTAAATAAAATCTTTCTCCTAGAACTCTTGTACAGTGACATTCATCTAAATAAAATATCCCAGGCATTTGAGTCTCAGGAACAGTCTTATGAAGAAGCAGATCATATTCTATTTATTTGGAAATATGATGCATGTTGATGTTGGGCTTATCTCAAAATAATGTCAAAATGTTAAAATCTGTATGAAATCTTAACATTAAATTTTATGAAGACAGATGTTTGCTGGGATGTGATACTGAGGGCTAGGACCAAAATAACTCCTGAGGGTAAAAACCCACAATATTGGCATAGGGGGGAATAGGGAACAAACACAAACTCAGGGTAATCAGACCTGTCTTTTTTATAATTTTTATCATTTTTTGCTTGATGTTAGTAATATAATGTAAGTTATATACAGTACTGTACTATTTTGGTAGTGCCTGTTGGGTGAACACACAAATATAATCTTTCTTTTCTTTTAATGTGCTGAATTTTTTCCTAGAGAAGCTTGGTAAGTCTTTTCTCCCAGTCAGAGGTCTGAAGAAATTGAGTAAGCTTAGATAAACCAGCTTGTTTAATCACTGAAACACAGGAAAAATTAAAATACATTTTTTCCTTGTAAAGTAGAGGAAAGCAATAAAAACAATGCCAGACGTTTAATGCCTCTCTTGTACCTTTCATTTCAAAGACCTCAAAAGAACATCAAGAAGAATAAAGGCAAAATCTATTCCCTATTGGCATCATTATAAATGTTGTATCCTCTGAAACTCTAAAGACATCCAAGAAGAGTAGAAGAATAAATGGCAGTGAAATAAAGAAAGTCTCTCTGGAGCTTTGTTCAATCGGCTTTGTTAGAATTCACTCAAATAGGATGATTATAAGAAAAGATCTCATTTGTTTCAACATTAAAGGAGCAAATTAATATGTGGCAAGCTGCTAATAATTGCCTCATTATGTAGTGAATGGGCATTGCGTCCAATTTACAAAATCACAATCATATTGTTAAAGTAACAATTGAGAAAGTTTAGTCGGAGTTTCCTAACTATCTGCGTGATTAGCTGTGGGATTCAGAGTGGAACAGAGTTGGTGGTTGGAGAGAGCTCTCCACCGGTCTATTGTGCTAAGGAGCCACGAGAGAAATTCAGCTTTTCATTAGTGGAAATTCCATCTGCAGAGGACCTGAGCTGGGTTTGGTCCAGCTGAGGAGTGGATCTGGCAGTCTGTGCTGAGACCAGAGCCTGGTGTGTGTCTAGCCTGTCCAGATATTGTTCTGTGGTCAGAGTCCTGGCCTGAGATCATCCCCACATGGACCTCAGCAGATGTACAGGGCTGTGGCTGGGAAACTTGGTGATCCAAGATCTGTGCCATTGGGAAATCTACCCGTAAAAATGGTTCTGTAGCTGGAATTTCAGTCTCCTGGTTTAGACACTGGAAGTGGTGGGGGAGTTGTCAAATTTGGAAAGTAAGCAATTTTCCAAATAATGAAATCCTGTGTGGAAGAGAATCATGTTTTGTGACCTACTTTAGTTGGATTTGCTTGTGACCTTTTCTAATTCTGGCTGATTTTGTTATTTAATGATTTGACCTTTGATTCTGTGAAGCCACTTCAGTGCTAAATGCAAAGATTTAATAACTAGAACTGTTTGATAAGTGACCTTTATTACACAGTTATTTCTCTTTGCTAGAGAAATGGCACTGTTTTGCGAGTTCTAATTCACAGTTTTAATTATCTTTTCTATTGTCTGTAAGCTTGCACAGGAAATGGAAAGGTCAGACATTTCATTTTCTTTACTGATTAAAATATAAGTGTTCCTCAACAGTTACAATGTATGAGTCAGGAAAAAGATGGGACTATTTGTCAGAACCATACCTAGCTGCTCTGTTGAGGTCTTCTACATCCTTCTGGTCAGCAACAAAATGAACAATTTTCTAGCAGCAGTCAGTAATAGCTCAGCCCCCTTGCTGTTTAGAGGTGGGATAAATGTCTAAGTACATGAAAAGAGAAGAAAACCTGAATGGTTCTTAATGTTTTTGTCTTTAACTCGTGTATCTGTGATGCAAGTGAATGAAGATCTTGTGAGAGGTGAACCTTGGCCTGATTTTCAGGGTTCACAGAGGATAAGCAGTAACATAACAAGTTTCAGTGTGGTCCTGCCAGTCTGTTTCAATCCCAGTGCTGCTGGACCATCTCTGCAGATGAGAGGGCAGCCTGGACTGCCTGGCAGACCCATTTCTATTGTATGTGGATAAATGTGTGTCACTGGAACCAGCCTTATCCTCTGTAACACTTAGAAACCAACACCACCAATTGGTGGCCTGTCTTCATATGGGGCTCAGTGAGTGAATATTGATGTGTGTTTTCTCATATGTTGAGGGGGATATGATGCAAAAAGATGATGAAGGCAGTGGATGATTCTGGAGTCAGTGGAGTATCTATCATGGGTGTCAGTCTCCTAACTCTGTCTGGGATCTCTGTTGGGAACTGTGCATATTGGGACATGTAAAATCTCTACATTGTAAATATATTTGTTGTGAGATAGAGCTGGGAGGGGCTTAGCCTCTGACACTGTTCAAAAAGAGCGGATTATATGTTGACCTGGTGTAGGCATGCGGTATTATGAAAGCACTTTATAAATTGGAACAAGATAAATGAATCACAACAAAAGAGCTAGAAAACCAGGGAACACAGTTTCAGGAGTAAGTGTACTCAGCTTATTCAAGCAGAGCAGTTGCATTCAGTGAATAGAAAATGTGCAATGCATTTCTAACTAAGGGGAGGAAATTCAAACAATTCCAAATTTAAGAGAGCAGCTCCATTTTAATGGAGAAAGAAGAATTTAGTGAAAAAAGCAGCTCTGAGGATGAGACAAATTTAAATGGAACCAGATTCTTGACCAAATTGGCTTTTCCTATCTAGCAGTTTCATATTCAGCATTTGTTATTTTGAAAGTTCACCCTGAAAGCTATAAATTAATCTACTGGGTCTGTAACAATTCACTTCATGCTGGAAAATGAGTTATGCTCATGGATTTGTTTAGGTCACCCAGCCATGTCCTCATAATGTATCTTAGAGAGAATTTCTGTAAGTAAGCAGTGAACAGAAAGACTGCTGCGTTCAGCTGCATCTCCTGGGATTTCATCCCTGCTCTCAGAGAGCCATGCAGGACAGCTCTCTGAAACTATACCAGCTATAGGAAATGCGTGGTGTTCTGTAAAGGAAACATTGACAATGCTTTTGCATTCAATCAGGAATCTTTAGCTACTGATTTAGGAAAGAATGTTTTCCTGAACCAGCCACATAATGAAATCAAATCAATCAAAACAGAGAAATCAAAGCTTTGAAATTGTAAAGTTTACTACACAAGTCATGCAGAATGCACCTTAATTCAGTACAATATTTGTCACCCAAAGATGAGACATTTTAGCTCTTACAGTTTGGCTTTCTTAAGATGTTTATCTCTTGTCCTTGCATTATTCTCCCTTATCAAAGAATTCGGTTTTTAGTCAGCAATTGCATCCTAGGGTTATAGTGGTCAAATGTAGGCAGGCTATTCATCTACATCAGCTAAATGAGGTGTGATTTTGAAGAGAAATAACCACAAGTCTGATCAGAAAAGCACCTAGCATCCTGTCAGAGTAAATGTCCAAAGACCATGAAGGGAATTTTTTCTAAAATATACTGAACTGAGGTCACTGGCTCCCAGCTGTGAGCATGACAGAGGATCAAGTCTGTTACTATACAAAAATTGTAGGTTATCTCTGACCTGGATGATCTTGTGTAGGGTTTTTTTGATTGATCTAGTTTTCATTTGATTTCAGTTTTTAACTGAACTCTTTATACAATCCAATTTAAATAGAGGGCATTTCATTTTAGTCTGTAGGTACAAAACAACAGACATTTACTCTTTGACAAATGGAGCATCAGATAGGTCCTTATATCTCTGTTAGATTATTTTTTCTATTTTCCATTCATACTGGAGTAATAGCACCCTAGAACATGGTCACAGAATACTGTCTTTGACTACAGTTTTCTCAGGATTAAGTTCCTAGTTCAGGTATCACCGGTCCCTCTATCTCTCATTTTCCATGGATCATAACCACTCTCTGGAGAGAACAACATACTCCTCCGTCCACATCTTCTTTCCAACTGCAAGATTTTCATACTGTTAGATTGCTTTTTAGAGATACATTTCACGTTTGAACTTCTGTCACAAATTTGGGAACTATTCATTCAGACACAGACACAGTTAATGTACAGTTAAACTTCCAGCATTACTTTTTTCAGTAGGTTTTTTTGTATTGCTGACAACACCTTGTTCAAATAGAAGCTATTGATCTAAATATTGCTTTCCACTATTTCTTTATTTCCTTGTTTTTAAATGAAAAGAGTAACATTTAGAGGGAAAAAAGACATTATTATTTGTATAGTTGAGTTGCAAGGTGGGAACAAAGGCAAAGATTGGAACTGCCTATTTCACTGAAAATGTTTGCATTTGTAGCGGTAGAGTTTTCGAGCAGCTCTGCTAGATGGTGATTGTGGTTTTGTTTTTTTAAAGAGAAGCATTGCTATCCATTTGTTGTACTGTACCTGTTTTTCTTTTTAACTGAATTTTCAGTCTTACATATTTTACAGAGAAAAACTTGCAATGTAAATTATTGCTTCCTGTCTTCCAGCCTCTACAACTTGACTGTGACCTCTGTGCCATTGTTTCAAACTCGGGGCAGATGGCTGGCCAGAGGGTGGGCACTGAGATAGACAAGTCCTCCTGCATATGGAGGATGAACAATGCTCCCACCAAGGGCTATGAGGAAGATGTTGGGAAGAGGACAACCGTAAGAGTGGTCTCTCACACAAGTGTGCCTCTCCTGCTCAAGAATCCCGAGTACTTTTTCAAAGAAACCAACAACACCGTTTATGTGATCTGGGGTCCTTTTCGAAACATGAGGAGGGATGGGAATGGCATTGTGTACAACATGCTGAAGAAAACTGTTGACAGCTACCCAACTGCCAAAATCTACGTGACAACGGAGAAGCGCATGAGTTACTGCGATGCGGTGTTTAAGAGGGAGACGGGAAAGGACCGGTGAGTCTTAAATGTGAGGAACAATTATAATAATGTTTGACAAAAGATAGGTGAGAAAAGTCCATGCAGGATGTCAGCTACTAAATGAGTCCCCAGATATGTTTTTAATGAATTGTTATATGGGTTTGACTGTTATAAGCACTTGATGAGGCAGCAGCTAGGCCCCGTTTACCCCACCTACGCTACCTTCTGTTCATGCCATTGCTGTTGGCGTGAATCCCAAAAATATTGGAAGTCTTCCTGAAATGTTTTCAAAGCTGTGTGTTGTTTTCAGCTCAATTTACTATTGATTAAATTGACATTTTATTTGAAGAGGATAATCCTACACAAACAACATTTCCAAATGCACAACCTCAGGATAATTCTGGATATTGCATTTTCTTCTCTGCTGAGATTCACTGTAGCTTTTCTTCAAACACAGACCTCAGTGTTATGCATTATTTCTGTTTCTTGGTGAAAATGGGTTATCAGACGTACTGGAATAGATTCAGGTTTTTACCAGTATTATGCTGAAATTCTATTTTCTATGCTTGATAATGTGTATTTATGCTACTCAAGTGGGGCTGTAAGAAGTGAAGGTGTGAGGACTGTTTGGGCTAGCATGTTCAAAGCAGAAACTGGACTTGTGGAATTAAGACCACAAATTTCAGGAATTTGTAACCAAGCTGCAAAAATTCTGGTCATCTGTATTTTGGCATGGAAGAGCACCTGTCACACATACTCACCTGAGCTAACTAGAAAGGAGTTTCCAGATCACTGCTGTGCCTTAATATTAATTTTTAAATTTATGCATCATGAATTTGAGGTTGGAAAGGACTGTTGCTATTCTGACCAAATTAAAGATACAGGTTTTCACAAACAGCTTAACATAGTCTGAATTTTTGACTTAGCTTTTGAAGTAGAAAAGCTTGTTATCTCAAACATACTTGTTTCACTATGTTATTAAACTGTCAGAACTTGGTGGCAGTTGATTTTTCCTATTTTTCAAACTGTTGGAGCATAAGGAGGAGCCTGCCCCTGTTCACCAAGTGCACATATTGCTGCTGTGGTTCTGGAGTTGGAGGGGGTTCATATATCTCATAAAGCTATCAAGGTTATCATGTCTTCTTTAGTTTCACTGAGCAAATTGATAACCAGAGGCTAATAAATACACAAGATCCCTTCTTGAAAAATGACCTTCAATAATCCAAGTCATCCTGTTTACATATTAATCAAGCTAAATATGACCACAGGTACGTTATTGTATTGCTGTACATAAATTTGTTTATATTTATGAGTCAGTCAGGTCACAGCGACTTTACATTACTTCATCAAAATCCTTATTGTGAGATTAGACCTTGAAAAAATATCCTCTTTTTCCTATGAAAGAAGGACATCTCATCGTTCAATGTCGAAGTGTCCTTCTCTCCAGCCTAATCCATTCCTCTTCAACAAATTAACACATCTCAGGTTTTTATAGTTACACAATTAGCACGATACAAATGCTTCTTTTCATGTAAAAAACAGATTGAGCTTCTCTCAGAGCTTATAACAAAGTTCTTAAACAACCTAATGTCAAAATGGCCTATGTTCGTTTTTCTTAAGTTTCACATTGCAACAGCAATAAATTTTTGTGAGCCTGTCTCACGTCCCTTCACGTTGTTTGTGCACCTGCGTCCCTTTGACACCAAGGGAAAGCTCACCACTTCTCACAGTGGCAACCTGGTAACATCCTTGTATCTATCTACTGAAACTTTCATTTTTAGTCCTGCTTTTCCACATCAAATACTTAGTGATGTTTTTAACATCATTTTGTGATTTTGTCATGCAGAAACAAGGGAAATGATTGATGCATCACCAGCCAACGCCTTCTGTATTTCAAGAAAACATCTTGCAGTTCCCTAGTAATCGGGGACTTCAGTTTGGAAACTGTTTCATTTTCTGTAACATCTTCAATTTGCAGGACCTGTCTTCTGTTTCTAGGGAGGGTCATGAGACTGTTATGTGGCATTTGTGGAAGCAGTAAATGGAGAGCACAGGAGATTTGTGGGTGATGAAAATACTTTCACACATTGTGCCAGGCTATTACGATGCTGAGACAGACTCGGGTTCCTCAGCCAAATATTCCTTCAGATCCTCAGAGAAACATCAACCCTTGCTTGGAATATTAGATTGAACAGAGGTCTGGTTCGACATGTTTGCAGCAAAAATTCTGGAAGGAAATCAATTTAAACTCATTTTTTAAAATGTACTGAGTGAATTGAAACTACATCTATTTTAGTTTAATCCTAAAATACTGTCTTTCTGTTCAGTGTATGTTATAATGCATAGTAAGATTGCAGCAGATTTCTAGTCTGTCAAGCATTTAATGAGTTTTCTGTTTCTACTCTTTGATGTACAATCTTTTTAGGTAATTAGCGGGACTTTTCAGCAGTTGCATCCTTGTGGTGCTCAAGTTTTTAAAAGATCTAGTGAGAAGCAGCTAACAGGTAGGTGCTGCAGTCACTTTTTTACTGCAGAAAAGCTCTGGTCCTGCAGTGCTGACATGGGAGCTTTATCCCTGACTTCACTGGGTGCAGCTCCAAAATCCACAGCTTTGGTAGTGATGAATGATTTATTACTGATGCATGGAAGGAACAAGAATTGCCTCTGAGTAACTTTGAACAAACAGTGGTTTTTATTTTGCAATGCATTTTTTAATTCTACAGTAGTACAAAATACCCTCTGATATGGGCTGTCCACAGTGGGTAATTAACCTTGCATGAGTGTTAAGAATCTAGGGAACATATGTTCTTTCTGAGAGTATTTGTTAGTGAAGCAGTTGAGTTCAAGGTGGGGAATGCTCATCCACTTTGAATAATTGTTGTACATAAATAATATTCATTACCAGACATTCACAATTTTTCATTAATGCATTTTACTTGGTACTTCCCTAGAGGGAGCATAAAGCTGGCAGCTTCTTCCAATACTTCACTAATGTGCTGGTGTATTATATATATATTTACTCAAGTGAAAGGATTTAAAGAGATATTAGCTAGTTACGAAATGGGCCATCTTTGTATGTACCTCGATCCAGATAAGTGGTTCTAAAGCCATCTATATCTCTGCCATGCAATACAAATATAATGCTATATGATATAATAACATTTAATTGGTAATAACAGAGAAAACTGTAGTCTTCATTAAAGCAGCAAAGCTAATTCTGGTCTGATAAAGTGTACTGAGCATCCCTAAATAGGTTTTAATTAGCTGGCACCAAAGCTTCACCACCCTTAGGGAGGGTAAAATTAATGAAAACCAGCAGCAAATAGATCAATGCTACTGGATGTTCTTGCCTTAGGTGAAGGTGATGAGAAAGAAAGGAGTGTCTTTTAAGGATCATTTAGAAAACAGTCTGTGTTAAAAGTAACTTTCAACAAGCAATGCTACAATAAATCTGTGCTGATATCAGCAAAGCAGTCTGATGTTTCCTGGACTGCAGGAAACTCCCTTTGTGTTTCTACTCCATTTGTGTATCTCGGGCCAGCCCCTGGGCACTGCAGCTCCCAGTGAGGTAGGGCCCAGCCCCACATGCCCCCGGGGGCTGGCAGGGGGCTCAGAGCCCCCTGTCCCCCTGCACAGGGGAGGTGTCCAGCCCCAGCAAACAGCCAGAGCTGATGTGCTGGTGCTGCTCAAAGAACAGCTTAACCACGTGTTTGTAGTCACTCTTCTTGTGAGTAACTGCTGAAAAGAGCCTGCTGGGCTCTGCTGGAGAAATGTGTCCTGAGCTCCTAAAATTCCCAGTAAGAGATGTGAGGTGGTGTTTGGAAACCCAGCCGGTTTGGTAGACAGAGGACTTTCCACATGCACTGTCTTAACTCTGACAGTGCTCATCCCATACCCAATCAGTTCAATTCAACAACATTTTGTAAAGATTATTAGCTACACAGACGTCTTCAGGAGGCAGGTTCACTGAGCCACATTTGCAGTCAAATTACTGTTTCTGAAAGACTTCTGTCAATACCTTGGACAATTCTGAAGAAACAAAATTGCTTTTGTGCTTCTTTTCCAGAAGTTCTTAGTTTCCTCAGTTCGTGCCAGATGGTGCTATGTGTTAGGTTGTGAGAAAGCTGTTTTATCATTCAAGGCAGAAAGATGTATCATTCTGATCGCTGACTTCTGCATCAAGATTCAAAATTTGGGGTTGTGTTTGAGCTGCCATTTTACTCAGCTCTGCTCACTAATTATTTATTACTTCGGTGATATATGAGATCTATATTATATCTCTGTCATTTAGAGCTAGCAAATTACATTCATCTAACGTTTGGATTGACACTGTTAAGACAACTGCAGTCATCACAGCTTCACCTCAGCTAATATGTGGTTTTTCATGTGTCTGACTAATCTGCATGAAGCTATAGTCTTGTAAAAATGTTATTGAAATGAATAAATGAAATTGCATTCTCTGAGGTTCAAGTAGCTGCAGGTTCTATTGTTTGGTGATATTCTCTGTGAATTGAGGCAGTAAAGCTGTCAGTGTCCAGAATATCAGAGTTTTGTGCTGTGTTTCTGGTTGTTGACTTGAATGAAATACTATAGGAATGATATTTTCATTTTTGGACTTGCTTTCATATATATATTTTCTCTATCATATATGATAGTTTCTCTATCAAAGTTATTCGGAGGAAATATAAAAGATTAGCTAGTGTTGCTTAAAATTCGCAGAAAGCAGTTCTTCCTTGGGAAGCTGTGAACACTGACACTGAGTTTGGCTCAGAGAGTTAAATTCTGGCACTTGGGAAGTATGTCCCATCAGCACTTTGTATTAAAGTAATTTAAAAAAAAGAAATTTCTGGAAGATGAGTAAAAGTTAATTTCATTTTTAATAGAAAATGAGCAGAGTTAGGGAATATCAGTGTCTTTAAATTACAGAACTTTAGGAATAAAAGGATGAAAAAACTGATTCAGACTGACAGAGGAAATGTGTAATGCCTTTTGGAACTTCTTTAAGGACAAAGATTAACTGTAGTTTACAGTTTGCT